GCAGCTTGTTTTTACACACCTGCTTTTCTGTTTTTACACAACTGAATTCACTTGACAGCAGAATCCACTATATTCCTCATGCTTTATAAAGAAATTGACAAAAGAGGACTCCCATTTAGCTTTGGGAAACGACAAGAAGAATGCAATAAATGAGGCTAAAGCAAAGAGGAGTATTTTGAGGGGGACTAATGGTAAAGTATCTCTTAATGCAATATGTTCTTAAAATTTAAACACTTACTGTACATTTTGACCAAATCTCATACATTGATTTAGTAGTATCAAGAAGTATAGGTAATGTAATAATATTCCACTGAGAGAAATTTTTGGGGGAAAATGTTTTTTTGTTTCTCCCTCATTTTCAGTACCGTTAATGGATTTCAAACTTTGCGATAATTAAGGAGTTTTTGTATTTGTAAATATAACCTTGATAGAAATCTATGCCTGAAGTTGAAAATTAAAAGATGCTTATCTACTTTTGTTCTCAATATGGTGATACACTCCAGAGCAATAGAAAGGACACACTGGGCCTGTATATTTACATATCAGCACACTATCTATTATACCTTTAGATATACAAAATAGTGAGATCTTACAAAGATTTCCTATAAACATCACAGTTTCTCTCTTTTTACTACCAGTATCTTCTATTATTACTGTACATGTGCCATAGTACTGTCATAACAAATATTAATGCATAATTATTTACTGATGTCTGCACATTATTCAAATTTAGTTTTTAAATTTCAGCTTCTGACCCAGGAAAATATCAAGGATGCCATGTTCTACTTAGTAATCAGATCAACTAGTATGTAAAGGACCCTCAATTCGTGTGTGCTGATATTTTGGTCATGATTAAGGTGGATTATTGATGTTGCGAGCAATATCACAGAAATACAATGACCTTTTCACCATATCCCAGGAAGGGTCCATGCTGGAACAGTCACTGTTAGTGTTAATGTTGACCATCTGGCTTGAAGTGGTGTGTGGTGTGCATTCCACAGTAAAACTACTCCTTTTCCACCCTCCACATGGCACTCTGAAGGAAATCACAACCTTTCGCTAACACTTAAAAAATGGGGAATTACCTACCATGTTTTTGATGCGGGGATAGTCATATGAATTACTTGGAATTTGAACAGATTTATCTATTTTACCTAACTTTTTAATTTATGCAATTATATTTATAGCTGTATAGGCTCTTGATTATTTATCATTATATTTCTGGTTTAGCTCAATTATATGTCAGTTATGTTGTTGTACAAGTTCTGCACCTTTGGTCACCACTTGTTCCTTTGTTTGGTCCCGTTTTGTTGAAATTCATTATTGTGGGCTTTTTATGTTTCCTTTTCTGTATAGGGAAGGGGCGTTGGGGTGTGTGTTTGTTTGCCTGTCTTTGATACTTTTATCCTTTCTGGCACTACAAATGCTTCAGAAGATAAGTAACTATATTTTTAGAGAGTCAACACTTTAGCAATTTAGTAATTTAGGGCAACTTATTATTATAATTACTATATTGTGTCTGTAGGTACTAGGAGTTGAACTCAGGGTTTTCTCACTGAGCTATATCCCCAGCCATTTCAAAAATTATTTATTTATTTTTAAATTACAAGACAAGGTCTCACTAGGTTGCTAAGTTGCCCAGGCTGGGTTTCAACTTTTATTCTTTGTGCTTTAGCTTCCAAGAATGCTGTGATTACAGCAGGGTCCCCCACCCCAGTCTTGGAGTAACTTGCTCTGAAAGACTCTGTGTTAGTTTCTGCTGGCAAGAAAGCTTTTCTCAGTTTAAGGCAGGTAGACAATGCTGCTAAGTCAGGCCACGTATTTTGATAAAAGAGCTAGTCACACATAACAACTGCCATGAAGACCAGGGATGAAGATTAGAAATGTAAATAGTTTACGGTCTCAGTTAACTTACTGTGCTATAAAAAATTGCAATTGATAGACCAGGACCTCTAAAAGTCATGTTTCTCTTATGGAGAGATAATTAAGTGTGTTTTCTCTAAGAAACTATGCCACAAGGAAACATGACTGATGGATAAGAGCTTTTAGAAGTTTTGTTTCAGTTCACGATTCATGTGATTATTTCTACCAAAGTAAGTCTCAATATAAGCAAATTTTATGGGAGAATGAAAGCTGGTAGACATCAAGAAGTTTGTTTTAGTACAGCTTTCCCTATCATATACTTGTTAAATTTTATAGTTTCAACCAGATATATTCATGTGGAGGTGAAAGTTCCACAGAGATGGAAAAATGGATGAATTTTCTTATCAATAAAAATATTAAATTAGTCCACCAATATTATAAATCCAAGCAGTTTCAAATGACACATTTGAATACATAAGCTATTCATTTAAAAACCAGTTTAATTATTAATAAAAGTATTTTCAATTATTTTCTAAAATAAAAAAAGAATAGCAAAGCCAAAAACTTGTGTAATTCAAAGATAAATAAAAATATTTTATCATTTTTTATCTGAAAACTCTTATTTCCACTGCATTATTTTCAGTTTCCTACATGGTATTATTCTCTTGGTCTGTATGTCAAATCATTTCTCTGTTATCTTTTAACTCCATCTCATCTTTGATTTTTCTGTGATTTTTCTATAGAAGTATACTGAATAATAAAAACATATCTTTTATATACGTGAGATTTGTTTCCAAACCTTCTGAGTGTTTTTAGAATAAAACTAATCTTTGTGAACACTTTTTTCTCACAGTGAAATCTTTTTGTCCTTTCTTTCATTCATCATGTCCCTCTCTCCCTCCCTCCCTTCTTTGCTTCCTAAGCATGCATACCTATCGAACACTTACTCCGTGCTGATCATGACTACAGCTGTACAACTTGTACTTGAACTCTTCAACACTAGCTAAAATTGATCATATGGCCAGGGATATAGCTCGGCGGCACAATGCCTACCTGGCAAGAGTGAGGTCATGAGTTTGATTCCCAGTACAAAATAAATAAATAAAATTGATCATAAATTGCCATAGATGCAGCCAATCATATAGTTAACTATGCGTTATCTGGGATTCCATAGTGGTGCACCAAGTACCATATGTAGCATCTTGCTCTTGTCTTTGCTACTTTGCTGAGGTTCTGATTTTTAAGTAGTTTATTCATCCTCCATGAATCTCCCACATTAGCGACTCCTCTGCTCTGTGAAACTCACAAAATGTCACTGAGGATAAAACTTCCCCTTTTCCAAGGTGTATCTGAAATGCTGTGCTCTCTTTCTCTCAACTAGAATTTTAGTTAAATTTGTTTCCTTATTCACACATAAAACCATAGAAGTTACATATTTTATGGTGTGCTTTGTGATGTTTAAATACATGCTCATATTATGTAACATTCCAAACAGGGTAAACACACCCACCTACTCAAATATGTATCATTTCTTTAGTGTGGAAACACTCAAGATCCTGGCTTTTAGCTTTTTGAGTTGTAGAGCACGTTGCCGTTATCTACAGTCCCTTTCTGTGCAGTGGCACACCAGGACTTTGTACTCCTCTCTAACCCTAGTTCAGTATCAGGATCAATCTCTTTGAATCTCTCCTCCCCCCCACCTACTTTCCCTGGTCTCTGATAGCCACCATTCTACTTCTACACGATCAACTTGTTTAGATTCCATGTACCAGTGTGATTGTGCAGTACTTGATTTTCCTGTGCCTGACTTACTTTAATTATCAATGATCTCTGCTTTCCTCTGTATTGTCAGAAAAGGCAAGATTTTGTCCTCTTTTATGATAGAGCAGTTATCTACTAAATAAATATATTTGCCACTTTTTATGCATCAGCTAGAATTTTTTGCCTATCCCAGGACGATATCAGATCATTTTATGCAGGAAGATCATGGACACATTTTTCAGTCTTGACATCATAGAATTTTGAAAAATTTCTATTCTTATTAGTACATGGTTGCAGTACATAATAATGACATAGTGTGGAGTTGGTACATGTATATAACACAGCTTCATTCTTATTTTGTCTCCTCCCTATCAGCTCTCTCCCCACCCTCCAGCACTCAGACTCTGTTAATAACTGTATTTCATTTGGCTCCCTTCCAAGTTGGCAGAGATGATTTCAGTTGCTGTACTTTTTAATCAGGAGCACAAATTCATCGCAACTATTTTTCGTTGGAGTTCTTTGGTAAAGGATTTTCTTAGAAATGGCATTGTGGTAAAACTTAGATTTTCATTGTCTATTCCATTGACATATGTCTAATTTGCAAGATTAAAAATGTTTTTCCCATATATTTATTTTAGTCCAGGAAGATAACAGTGTGTGTCATCTGGGCCAGAATCTACAGAATGAAATAAATATGCAGAGCTTTTAATTTACAATCAGCCTAACCTTAGAAATCAAATAAGTCCTCCAATCTAAGACTTCCCTCGGAAACAAGAGGCTTTGGAACGAGGGGATTTCCCAATCCACCTCTGACACAGTTTGAATTTATAATTTTAGATTAGTTTCTTTAGAGTAAGCTTTTCAGTCACTGTCCATTGTTTTCACTCTAATGTGAATGACATTAATAAAAACTGTTGTCTGGGTCCTAGACCCTTATTCCAGCTTCCAGCTAGATTGTTCAACACAGTGGTACAGAGACACACTCATGTTACAGCTATCAGGAAGTGATGTGTCTTCCTTCTTTGTAGGTAAAAGATAAAAAGAAGACCAATATTTCATATTTGGGAAGGTCTAATTTCATGTAAAGAATAAACAAATGGGAAGTTTTAATAATTGAAACTTTATATAGTTAATATTTATTGAATATTTAATATTTTGCTCTATCTACTGCACTAGGTGCTAGGAAAACATTACAGTACAAGCACACAACCACAATCCTTGACTTCAATGACATACATGAATTTTTAAAACTTGTGTATTTTTGATTCTGAATTAAAATTGCAATGCTATGTTGTATATGTTTTTAAGTTTCAGTACTTTTCCTGCAGATACGTTGAATATCTCTCTTAACGTTTGTTTACTCTCATCCTCACTAGGAGATCGTCAACTTCAACTGTCGAAAACTGGTGGCTACAATGCCTCTTTTTGCTAACGCGGATCCTAATTTTGTGACAGCCATGCTGAGCAAATTGAGGTTTGAGGTATTTCAACCTGGAGACTACATCATACGAGAAGGAGCCGTGGGGAAAAAAATGTATTTCATCCAGCACGGCGTTGCCGGTGTCATCACAAAGTCCAGTAAAGAAATGAAGCTGACAGATGGCTCTTACTTTGGAGGTGAGCAAAATGTTAAGTGCAACTAATTTGAAGTCTAAATTGCCTGTTACATATGTCTTCTTCACAATTTGGAGATATCACAGTGTTGATTTGCTGACTTTCAATTTGAATTTGAGTTCGAATTCTAACATAGATGTCTGTAATGTTTTCATAGTTCATGATCCTAATTTCAGGGCAGGTGGATCCTCTGTTGGTTATGACACTGTTTCAACTTCTTTAACTAGAACCAAATGATCACGGTTTAAACTAAAGAAAAGTATATTTTAGATAAAATCCCCATAGGTTTGTATGACTTTCTCTGCAATAATTTTAAGGATCCAATCCATTTATTTATTATGTGACATCCACTAGAAGTTTCTTTCTTTTTATTTCTTTTTCTTATCTACATGAGGGAAACTGATTCTTTTCTACCATATTTTGGTGTTGCTTACAGAATGGTGCAGAGAAAAGAAGAAAAGCTAGCCATCTTTTGTTGCATACCCAAAAGTTGCCGATATCACTGCTCTTCACATAATCACTGGCCAGCATTTAGTTAGAGGATCACTGCCAGTCCTCAGTAGGGATGGTCACTTATCTTACATCAGGAAACTTTTATTTTGCTTCACAGTTTCAGAGTTCAGTCCTGGATCACTTAGTTCCATCTCTTTGGATCTGAGGTAAGGGCATGGTCCAAGGGCATGGTGGAGTGCAGCTGCTCACCACATCATCTCTGAAAAACAGAGGAAGAAAGGGCTCACAGGGAGTAACTGGAGATCAGATATAGTTCTCAAGGTCACACCCCGGTGACCCACTTTGTTCAACTGGCACCCACTGGCTCCTAAGTTTACTTTGCCGTCTCCTTCAAATTATGATCCATTCAGTGGATTAATCCACTGATGAATTTAGAGCACTCATCATCCAGTTGCCTTTGGAAATACCCTCAAGCACACCTAGCACTGTATTTTAAGTTTCAAGGAGTTGATCAATGCAGTTGACAATCAAGAGTAACCATCATAGATGAGAAGTGCTGCTTCTAGTTAGATGGCAGCTTACCTTGTGAGAGATCTGAAAACTTGGAACTTTCCCTAAACTGTTGCTGTGATAAAATCAATGGTTGTTATGTACATACAAAAATTTCTCTCAGGTTCTTAATATTTTTCTCAGTGAAATGTCAAATTTTAGAAATTTTCCCTAGTTACACTTCAGATTTTGAATTTTATTAAATACTTTTTTGAATGTATCAATATGACCGTATGGTGATTAACCATTAATCTATTGTGCTTCAGGAAAGCACATTAGCTAAGACTAATTAAATTCTTTGACTTTTTGTTCACCCATTAAAGACAGTTTTGAAATGGTTAATTTTCTTTTCCTTCCCACTGTTCCTTCTTATCAGAATGATTTTATGTTACTTTTTCAGTCCTTTTGTTCAGATAGTGCTAAGAAAAAAGATTAGAAAAATCCAAGAATCTGATTCTACTTTAGAGAGCACAGAACTTGTTTGAGTAAGGAAAAAATAGAAAGGAAGTAATTAAAATCCGATGAGGTAAGAAATAAAAGTATACATGTGCAGAACAGGTTTGGGAACAAGTTGTTGGGGAAAACATCTCTGAAGCAATTTTGGGATATGTGATGCATATGTTGAAGAAAAGTTTAGGAAAGAATTTTCAAAGTGTTATTATGCATTAAGAATGGCTTTATGAGGTTGACATATGTTTCATGAATTCAAAGGAACTCTTAATTACTTTCCAGTTATACTTGGCAACATGACTAAGGTTTTGTGCAAAGGCTGGAATATGTGTTTCTCTTGGTATATGTAGGTTAAACTCTTAGTAAAGTTAAAGGATCAGTGAATGATGTGTGGAGCCATAAGAGCACTTCTAAGATAAAAACTATTTTTCTGGTTGTATTATTTCTTTAACAATTTTATATATCTATCTATGAATTAAAATTCACTGTAATTTTGTTGTTATGTAGCTGTTTTTGTTATCCCTGGGATCACTTTTGCATATTAGGTTTTTCTAACCTTCTACAGAAATAAAATTTAAAAACAAAGAACTTTATGGAAGTTTAAGCAATGTAGATATGACCAATTATTTGGAGTTTTACTGGAATCACCTATGTCTCATTGCTGGACCTCTTTGATTATTAAACTACTAATTTTTCTACTTTAGGTTTTCTACTTATGAGTAATCACTCAGTTAATCTGATTATTTATAACATTGGATATTATAATCTCATGGGAAACTTTAAAAATCTGATAGCTGCAAAAATCATACTTTAGACTTTAATGTAACTGAGTGAAAAGATCTAAGTGTTATGAAAAAATGATTCCAAATTATATGACTATATTGTTACATACTTTTTTTACTCTTAACTTATTTTCTTTTCATTATAGAATAGTTTTATAGTTTTGAAATTACTGCAAAGATTAAACAGAATTTCTATGTAAACGTGTGTTATATGTGTCAAAGTAAATGAATCAATATTGATACATTATTCAAATATTTAATAAAATGTGTATTATATTCAGATTTTTCTTTTTATAACCAATAATTTTTTGTTTATGATCTCACCTATAATACCATATTACTGTGTAATGATGTCTTAGGCTGCTCTTGATAAAGTTTCTTAGACTTCTCTTGTTTTATGATGAAGTTGTCAGTTTTGATGAGTACTCCCAAGAGAACCTGTAAAAAGTTTTGTTCCCGGGGACTTCTCTGACTCATTTTTTCTGATCAGATTAATGTTTTTGAGAGGAAAATCTCTTAGGTGAAGTATCATTCTCATCATATCATCAAGGTATAGTATCTATATATTTTATCACTATTGCTATCAATCTTGATCACTCAACTTTAGGTAGGATTTGTCAGGCTTCTCTACTGTAAAGTCACTTTTCATTCCCCTCTTATTCTGTGATCAACTCTTTGGAAAATAATAACTACAAGTAGTCCATGAGTAAACAGTGGGGAATATTTTATCATTTCCTTAAAGACTGAGTATTATATAAGATTATTTTGAACAGAAACTTTATTTTGTCCATTATGTGTTCTTTCTATTCATCTTGGAGTTTTTTAACATAGTTTAGAATAATGATTTTTCCAATGATTATTTGATTCTATGATTGAATAACTGTATTTGAAGTCAAGATCTGGACACTAAACATGTTTATTATTACTGGGTTGTTATTATGTCTAGGCTCTCTCAACTGACCAAACAAAGGATGTTGACACACGCACACAACATACTATCATGTGTACACACACACATTTCTCCCCATATGCAGCCATATGTATATGAAACTAAATATGAGTTCATACTTCGCTCACTTTATCCCATTAACATATGAAATATTCTAAGCTCCTCCTATTGCTTATTTGTGACTGCTCACTTGACAGTAAGATAGTAAGTGCTCACTGCCAGTTGTGTACTTTGTTGAGCAGTTCTAGTGTACATGGACAGTTGTTTAAAGTTGTTCTCCTTTGACTCCCTGGGAAACTGCTTCTTTAGGCAGAGCAGAAGCCTTATGAGTTAGTTTGCCTTGATTCTGTAGACTCCAGTGATTTCCAAAGGTACTAAAGTCAGGATCTTATTATCCCAGTCCCTTCAGGGAAAATGTTCATACAGTTTCAATGTGTTTATAATCTTGTGTGCATTTCATCCTGTGATCATCTGACCTCATAAATTACTTTTAAATTCACATGCCATAAAGCTTACTCTTTATACTGTAATACAGTACAAAGATTTTAGCAGATGCTTCCTGTCTTGTGTCCCTCATTTCAATATCATACAGAACATTTTCATCATCCTAAAAATAATACTGTTATGTCACTTATAAATGTGTCTCCTCTCCCAAAGTCCATAACAATTACTGATCTGCTTTAAGTTTACCTTTTTCAGAAATGTCATGTAACTGGATCACACAGTATGTAGTACTATGTCAGAGATTTAAAGAGTTTCAAATTTCAGTCATTAACTCCTGCTTTATAGGAAATTGAGTTTTGTGTATTAGCCTCTCTTATCCAAAGACCTCGCTATGTAATCCCTTATTAGTTATAGAACATTTATTCTTTTGTGAATTAATTCTTGTTAATCCCTTTGTTAATTCTATTATGATGCTACATAAAGGGGATTGCTTTATGTTCTTAATCATAGTGATAACTTCTCTTCTACTTCTTTTCTGAGAATTTTTGAATAATCTTGTGTGAATATTAAATATTGTGTTTTTTTGTCATTTCCTACATTCTTTTTTCTCTGTCCTCTTCTTTAGCTTAATATGGTAGGTTACATTTACTGAGTTTGAATTTGAATGTTGAGCCAGATTTGCATGTCTGAAATATTACAATGAATTAAAATATCTAAAAATTTTGTATTTGATTTGCTATATTTTGGTTACAACTTTTGTGTCTTTCTTCATGGTACTGCTCTATACTTTTTTCATCCCTGTAATATATTTGTTGATTCCTTTGTGTTAGGTAATTCTCACTTTTTAGAATGTATTGGGATGTTCTCCCACTGTTGTATTTTCAAAATAGGTTGTGCAGAATCTATATCATTGCTTCTTCAAATATTTGGTAAGCTAGTAAGAACACTGAGAACTGGTGATTCAGTTTTTGCAAGGTCAATAGGTTATTGACTCAAATTCTTTATTCCATAGAAACAAAGTTAATTTTTTTTAACTTACCCATTTCCCATTGTGTGAAATTTGTGCTGTCCTAGAATTGCTGTAGTCTGCCTACAGTATTTTTTTTAAAAAAATGTACAGTCAAATATGTCATTCATTTCCTTTATTGGTTTCTAGTTTCAATTTTATTGATTGTGATTACAAATTTTCTCTCACCTTTATTATGACTTTGGGTTCAACTTGCTCTTCTGATTCTATTTTGTTATTGTGGAAGTTTAAATTATTGGTTTTATACTCTTCTTTCATTCTAATATATGTATTTAGTGCTATACAATAAATTTCTACCCAAGCACTGATTTAATCATCTTTCCCAAATTAAGTGACATATTTTAATGTT